TAGTGAACTTTATCAAACTTTTTAAGTGTCTAAATTTGATATCAAATTGTTTATAAACCAAAATTAATTTTTAATTAAGACATAATCAAAATTATTACAAACTTAATACAATTAAAATCATAACATAGCAAATCTTTCTCGTACAAACAACTAAGAATATGATTCTAAGGCTGATCATTCTTCTTATATTTTTTCATTCTCATTACCTGAAAATAATTTGTAAAGGTGATTATCTTCTACTTCACTAAATCCTTATTTTATGAAATAATCAAATAACATAGAAAACATTATCTAATACAAAACACAACAAAATAATAATAATTCATATATCATGATGACATCAATTAGTATGTCATACCACATGTATTATAATCATATTAATCAACATATTACAACACATGTATTATAATCACACCCATGAAATGATGTGTTACAACACCTATATTATAATCATATTAATCAATATATTACAACACCTGTATTACAATCATACCACTCAATGTACTACAACACATGTATCATATTTTCTCTCAATTCACTGTGCCTAATATCCTTTGAGATCTTTAGAGTATAGATAGTTGCTAGTTAACCATAGCAATACGGATACAACCTATATATTACCAACTCGACCCTTTTTAGCAAAAGTATAGTTAAGAGTATAGGTAAAAAAATGAATGTGAGACCTATGATGTTTTCATTCTTACCAGTTTGTGCGTAATTTAAAGAAAAGCATTCACCATCTTACATTTTTCCAAGTTTTTCCAAAATCAATTCTGGCTTCCACACTCCCAATTTATCTCTGCCACTATCCATACACATTTCCATAACTTTTTCATGACACAATTTCTTAGCAATTCTCTTTTTATTTTGACAACATCAGCAACTTTAAAATCACATTTTCAAATATTCAAACAAATAGTCATTCTAATTTTTTCTTACATACAATAAATTTCACATCCACAACAATTCACACTTTCTTAACAGTTCAAAAAATTACATTAAAAAAATCAATACAATATACTGAAGGTCGAACACCTTCAAACTCAATCCAATCGTATAATTTAGAAATACATTGTTGAAGATCACACTCTCTTGATCTTAATAAAAATCATTTATCATAAAGTTTAGTCTTTTTCCCAATACATATATTATTCAAAATAATAACTCACAACATTAACCGTACATACATAATAATTAATAGCAAAATAGTAGAAACTTCTTAGAACTAGTTTTATTCATAACTCTTACTATGAAATTTTTGTTTAGATAGTTCTGAAAACAAATCATGGGTTTTTGATGTCCAAAATCCATTTTTTAGCATTGTAGTTCTAAGAAAACATTAAGGCACTACTATCTAAAATGAGAAAATTTTGAATTAGGGTTTGGAATTAACTCCCTTTATTTAGAAATGGGTCTTTCACAACAAAGAAATGGGAGTTGATATCTCTAAGACTAAGTTTATCTAGAGATCGCTATAAGGTTGCAATGTAAGATGTTGTCCAAAAGACCAAGATCTCCCTATCCATTACAAAGTAAGATAACTTTTGAGAAGGAAGAAAATGAAGAAATAGAAATGACATTGGAAGATCAATCTCCAAGAAACTTAGAATCAAGAAGAAGAGATATCCAAACTCAAATTTGAAAGAGATTTGGAGTTCAAAAGTATTTTTTCTGAGAGAGAGAGAGAAGTGAAAGAATAGATAAAGAGATGAGAACAGAGAAACTCCTTAAATACCCCTGTTTTCTTGTGAATCCTTGCTTAAGAGAGGATATTTTTGCTAGAGTGAGAAAATCAGACAAGAATTGCTACTTTTCTGCTGATCTTTTCATTTGAGCAAGGGCATTTTTACTTGAGCGAACTCGAGCGCTACCATTTTCTGTTGTGAATTTTCACTCGAGTGACAAATTTCTCGCTTGAGTGAGAATACAATTAAGAAAAGCTAATCCTTTTTCGCTTAAAAAAGAAATTTTTGTTTGAGTTAAAAGAAATATTCTTTTATTCTTTTTTTAATTTTTTTACTTTTTGAGAAAACTCTTCCATTTTGTAAATAAGAAAATACAATTAAAAATTTAGGGTGTTACATACTTTCTCAATAAATATATTTTATATTAATTTTTTAAAATAAATGTTTATATGTTAGGTAAGTTCTATTTCTCGTGATATAGATATGCATCTTTTTATTTAAATAATGTAAATATTTTTATATTAAATTTTTTGGACTCTTATTTTTGCATAAAAGACACTTTTGAAAATTTAGAATTATAAATTAAAATACTTAAAATAAAAAAAAATTCTTATTTAGAAAATAAAACATAACGCCTTATCAATAACTTTTTATTATCCAACAATTGATTCAAATCTTTTATATACTACCTCAAGATTATCAATAATATTTCTTATGAATTTCACTTTAATTTTCAATTCTTGTATTCAAAACTATATTAAATTAAAGAAAACTGCAAACATACTAATTTCATATTAATTTCTATTTTATTATTATTTAAACATTAGACATTATTATAGAATATATTTACGTGTGTTAAATTAAATTTATTTTAATTTATAATTTAGACTAAGTTATAATTTAAAATTATTTTTAATATGATTATTAACCTAATTTAATATTGTAAAAAGTAGTAAATAAATTTTTTCTATTTAAAATATAAAATAAATGAACATTTTTCATAGTTTACTATATTGATAAATATATATTATGCTAACCTTATAAAATAATTATTTATGGGTGATATAAATATTTATTTTCTGTTATATGAATATTTATATTGTTATATGTTCAATCTTTTTATTTTTGAGAAATGTAAATATTAATTTTTTAATATCCTATTATGTACATAATAGATAACATTTTATTTTAAAAAATTATCCATTTAAAAAATAAAATATTAGATTTTTCGATAACTCGACAACTTTCAAGTTATCAAATTAGTAATATTAAAAAATAATCTAAATCATTTTAATATAATAACTTTATATTATCAATCACATATGTGTGGTTCAGTTTAATTTTTAATTCTTATATTCAAAATTAAACTAACAAAAGAAAACTGCAAACATATTAAATATATATTAATTTTTTCATTCTATTATTATATAAATAATAGAATTATCTTAGACTATATTTATATTTTTTTAGGTGTTTCATGTATAAATACATTGTTAATATATTTGTAAAGGAATTCATTTTCATGTCAACATGCAATAATTTAATTTTATTAGTTTAATTCAACAACATAAAAATATAATAAATATTTTTTATTAAAATATAAAAAATTAACAATTTTTGTGATTAGCTATATATATATATATATATATATATTCTAATTTTATCAAATAACTATTTATATGTAATGTAAATATCTCATTTCTGTGATATAAATATAAATTTATATTCTCTTATATACATTCTTGATTAGTATATTATATGTTAAAATTTATAACTCTTGAACATGTTATAATTAATTATACTACAATCGATCATACTATATATAATTAATAGTTAATAGATCTATAGAATAAAATGAGATAAAAGATCAAGTAGATTAAACTTATTTTTTCTCTTTTAATTGTTATTAAATTAACCACTCATAGGTATTTTATGTTTTTTCTTTTTTTTATCTTGCATTGTAACACCCTCTTTTGATTTATTATGATTTAGTGAATTATGTTAATATTAAATAATGTTAAAATGTGTTTTATTTAGATTGAGAAGTATTCAAATAAGTTCTGATATAGAGTTTCACTTAAGCAAGATGGTTAAGCCTTTATGAATTTAAAGCAATCAGATCTTTTTGTAAAAATAGATAAAAAAATAAAAAAATAATTTATTTATTATTTTTAACAGTATATTTTCCTAGTTTTGTCGTTTTGTTTATGGTCAAATTTAAATTAATAGTCTAAGTAAACAATTTTCTGCATATGTTTGAAACTTTTTGTTAAAAAAGAAACAAACAAAAAGAAACCGTGCCTTGTGTATAGGAAACAAACATTCTAAAATATAATCAGCATCTATTAGGAAAGTGTATAAATAAGTAGTCAAAACCACCTTTCTTTGTCACCTTTGTTCTTCTTCAGCACCTCGTAGTTGCACCTGACACATTTTGCCCTATTTTCTTCCCCAGAAAGGCAATCTTCTTTTCTTCCTCTTCATTCCTTTCTCGTTTGTCATTAAAGCGTAACTTTTTCCTATTTGTTATTCGTTCCTCTCTCTCGCTCTCAATTCAATATGAACATGCCCTTTTTTTCCTGATCATGTAACTGCACTCATCTATTTTCTGTTGCTATTTTCATTAATTTGCTATGTATCCCAGATATGCTTCAGTCCACAATTATTCATTATGTCACGTACTTTATAGTAGTGTTTTTCACTAACGTATACTCCATCATGGTGTACATTACTATCATCACAAATCTCTAATTAAAGAATATATTATCGATAAAGTTATTTTATGATGTTGTTGAAGATATATTTTGATATTGCATGTGTATTCGTTTTAGTTCATGATCCCTTATTTATACGTCTTTGTAGTCTATGAAGGACTGATACATTATAAATTGTGAACAGTTTGTTAGTATTTCTCGATTCAAATTTCATTGTTTGACACATCCGATCTCAGTGATCTCAGATATATTATCGATAAGTATTTGTGAAGCATCTAAGTCTTTAAAATAATTTATAAAAATGTAATATATAGTCAGATTAAGATATAAAATATAAAAGCATTGTCCCTTAATGTAACTGGAAATTGAAGTTGTCTTCTTTATGGATAATATTCAAGAAATTTGAGATTGATACTGTTCCTTTTTCTAGACATATGTCTAGATATATATCCTACAATTCTATATATTTTAAAAATAGTAGTGTCATCGTATCAGCTATACGTATCTTATACATGCATCATAGTTTGTAGTTAACATTGGTATCAGCCTTTTTTTCTGATGAAATTTAACATAGGTTTTTGAAGTGCTTGGTACAGGTACCATGGAGGAAAGAATGGGGCTTCTACTTCTGATTCTGTTGGGTGCTGCTTGGGCTTGTGATGCAAGACAGCAACCAAACCCTGGTAAGATAGAGTGACACTTTTCTCATCTTTTTTCTGGATTTGGATCTTCTCATGTTGGATTTCAAACATGGCCGTCATGTTTGTATATTTTTTTACTTTCAGCTTAAACGAAATTTCACTCGCTTAAGCTAATGTAAAAAAAGAACATGAAGATCATGTTCGAAATCCAACATGAGGAGATCCTGGCGGCTTTTTGCTTTCTATTATCGTACTTTAGGAGACACAGAGAATTCGAGGCTTGTATTAATAATTATAAAAGTGTTGACACTACCAACTATCAAGGGAAAGTTTAGTGTCTCTTTGATTTCATAAACCATTTTTAGTTTTCATTAATATTTACAAAAATATGCCATTATTTTCATTTTGTTTCTTATTTTTAAGAAATTTTTTTCACAATTACAGTCATCATAATTAGAAACAAACAACAACGTGACATTTTTGTAGTGAAAATAAAAATAGGAAACTATTTTTCAAACCAAACACATCTTATAGTTTATAATTAATAATTATTGAAGTATACAATCTTAATTAACAAACGTATTCTAACAATGGTGTATATCACTTATGTTCATCAAACATAGTTGATTGAATTGCTCTAATAAATTTTCAGAGGTTCTTATGTTCACATAATAACACACCATTTCTTCCCTTAAGCCTGACGAATGTGTGTCAATTTTATAAATTCCCTTTCCTTCATATCAATTGCTATAGCATATGTATGAATAAAGTTTTCATGCTCAAGAACTTGTCGTAAGTGTTAGTACAAAATGTGTCAATTTGTCAAAAATGCTACAGTTTGTAATACAAATGCAACATCAGTAATTCATGTTGTTGACATCCTTTCAATATGCAGGATTGAACAGAAAATCAGATGTGTGTGCACGTTGTGAGGATTACACTACTGAGGCACTTCATTATCTAAATGATAAAAGCATTCAGACTGGGATCATTGATGACCTTCACAATATTTGCTCTCAGATACTCTCTTTCAAGCAGCTGGTCGTTTTCCTTTCCTAGAGCTGTTGCGTTTTTCTTCTTTAAATGCTGTTGTTATCCTCAGTTGTTCAAAAATTGACTTCAATTTCCAGTCATGATGTTTAATATTCTACCAACAATGGATCAATTGTTATTACATTACACATATATGATAATTATACATATTTTAGTTCTCATAAAGACTTCTATGAAACTTGTAATCAAATGCTTGATTTAAGATGAAATTATTGGGTGAATGCGTGTGAATCAGAAATTATTTGACCCTGTATTTACTCACCTTTGTTTAATCTGGTGTATTGTACAGTGCATTGAAATAGTGGATCACTATACTTCTAGTTTCTTCTCAGAAATCGCATCAGTTCAGCCAGGAGAACTCTGCGAACAGCTCAACCTATGTGAATCTGCAATTTTTTCTTCACAAGTTCAAGGAAATAGCTGTGGATTTTGCAAAAATACTGTTTCAGTCTTGCTGTTTAAGTTGAATGATCATGAATCTAAGGTTAGCAAGCTAACCTGCTGCTGTGAATTTTTCAACACTTTCAAGTTCCACACTTGTCCTTCATCTACCACAAATGATTGTTGCATATTTTTCATAAACTTTCAAATTAGACTTTTCTTTTTCTGGTAATTCCTATGGTTTGATGCCAAACAGAAAAAAGGAATTTGAGCCTGGTCTAGCTAGCATATGGGATCATAGCTCAGCATTTTAATATGTAATGCAAACCAACTATTGGTATGAGAATGTGGGATTTGCAAAAGTAACTAAGAAATATAAAAACTATTATCAATGTTTGAAAGAGAATATATAGTTAAGACGTTCCATGAATTATTTACTTATTGTGTAACCAACGGTTTTATGGAAGAACGTGGCTTGCAGCTTGCATGTGAACAAGGGAAAGCCTGCATTATCCTTATAAAACAATAAAAATTGAAAAAAAAAAGTCTATGAAGTAATGTTAAACATGTACTTGGCACCTTCAAATCTTTCAGTTTTCCTTAAAGCCTTCTATTATTTTTGTTTTGACCCCACTCTGTAGTGTCTTAGTTCCACACCTTTTATTGAACAGAAAACTAACAAGTTATTATAAAATGTCAGGTAGAGATGATGGAGGCACTGTTAAAGGTGTGCAATTCTAATTCTATGGAGAAGTTCGCAAAGGAGGTAAGAAAAATCTTAAAAAGTTCCATGTTCCTTTTTCTCTTATTGAATTTCCCTTGCATCCTTAAACACCATGCTGCATGGTCTGTGACTCTGTTCCACAAAATGAAGTTTCATATTTTTATCCTTTTAACTAATCTACCATAATTTGACCCACAATAATTTTCATGAAATGATAATCTTCTTTGTCAGCTCTTTACCTAGTCAAAAATTAAGCTCTAGTGTGAAAATTTATGACTGTGAAAACAAGACCATTTACTACTAAAATTATGATGGTCCTGCTAAATAATAGTGTATTGTAAGATCTGAATAGACTTGTGTGTGTTATAACACTGGTGTAAGATCTCATGTAGGTGGTATAAGATACTCTAAATTGTAGGATTCAGCCCTATATCAACTAATCTCCAAATCCAAAGAGATTTAGTTTCACCTGAGCTACTTCTTCCCTACTAGGCAAATGCACCTCTACAACAAAAGAGAAATTTTGCAGTAATGATCATTTTCATGTCATTCTTTCTTGATTATCCAATAATTTTTTTTTCTCAATTCTCAAATTCTATGCAGTGCAAAACGGTGGTTTTCAAGTATGTATTTCTATTTATACTCGCAGCAGAGGACTTAATGAAAACCGAAGATATATGCACTGTATTGCATGCTTGCCCAGCTTCCACTGCAGTTAGCAAGGAAGCCTCAACTCTGGAAGAAGCATCCTTGCTTTCTGATTCTTAAATCATGGAAAAGAGTTATACCTTATTGCTTTAGTTGCACTGCTACTATATATTCATCAAAATAAATGCGCAAGACCTTAATGTTATCTGTCTGTGCAAGATTTATCCTCATTAAATGTCAAAGTATGTGATTTGGAAATGCCAAGTTGATTTTATATGCATTTCTTCATTTTGAACGCATGGAAAGTTTTTCTCTGTGAATTTCCAAGAGCTATATTGATGGTGAAGTTTGGAAGAGCTTGTGAAAATACTATAGAAATTATTTATAACTCACCGGTTTTTTTTCAATTTATTACAATAAATTATGCATTAAATAACTTATTAAAATTAAAATAAGTTTTTTTTTTCTTATTTTAAAAAGTTTCATGGTCCAATATATAGTATAAAGTCTAACTTTGATAAATTTTCTAAATCAATATTTATAAAAAATTAATATATAAAATAAATAAATTTCTTTCAATAAATTTAAAGTGACTTCTCAACTTTTAAAAAAAGTTAAATAAAAGAATATATATATATATATATATATATATATATATATAAAAGTTCATTTTTACTTATAAAAAAATATTTATTTAAATTAAGTCTAAGTCATTATCATGTAAAAATAATTTTTTTAATTTTACAATAATCTTATTACCGTGATATTTGTCCAGCAAATATTTTATATATTTATTTTATTTTTCAGATTTTCATCACAACACTGAATTATAAAATCATATTTGTAATGTATACTCTAGGAAGTGCTCTTGAATCCTATTCTTCTTACTATAAATATTACTAGGGATTTAACTCCTTTGTATTAATACACTTTCATCTATAACTTTTAATGCATTTTAAGGTGATTTTAATAATAAAAGATTATTTTTTTAAACATCAACATTGATAAAAAATTACTTTAATTATTTTATCACTCGATATTAATTAACAAAATTGATAAGGTTTATAATAAACATAATTCTATAAATTAATATTTTTAATAATATAATTAATATTTTTTATCCTTCGTATCCACCGTAACGTAACTAAAAATAAAAAAAATTACTTTTATATTTTTATAATCCTATTAACATCAAAGAAAACTGCAAGTGTTTTTTATATAAATCTACACTAACTAATTTTTTTTTAAGCTGTCAAACAATTAATTAGATTAAAAAATTTAAAGATTAAAATAGTATAAAATTTAAACTAAAATAACTAAAAGTATAAACTCTTTTTTATTTAATCTTCTAAATATTAATAACTTATCTGTGTCATGAGATTAGTTCTTTTACTTAAAAAGGGAAGTAGGCAAGAGTGTAGGGGTATACACAGGTCCGTTTGGTTCGGGTTTAGGAGAAAAAATAATTTGAACCGATTAAAATGGATTGGTTTGGATTTGTAAAAAAATTTTAAAAATTTGAACCGATCCGAACCAGACACGAGCGGGTTGGTTTGGTTTGGATAATTGGATTCTCTAATTAAATAATATAAAAATAAAAACATATAAAAAATAGAAAAAACTTCATTTTTTTCATTCGAATAATTCTTGACACATAATTTTAACACAATTACACAATATTCTGACACAAATACACAAATTCAAAATAAGACTCAGTTCAAAACAAAAAAAGCAAATTCAAAATAAGTGTCAAGGATCTCTATGTGAGTCACGATTTACTACTAAATAATATTTATCAGGTTAATTGGTATATGTTTAGGTGATTGGATTGGCACAATGCCACCTGTTATCCGAACCAAATTATGTCGGGTTTGATTGGTTTGGATCAGATCAGACCATTAAACATTGGTTTGGATTATTGGGTTCGTTAGTTTATCTGATTCGATGAACACCTCCTTAATTTATTTATAACAATTACATATAAATTATATTTTATAACTTAATTTTTCATGTTAATTTTAATTATTTTAAATTTAAATTTATCAAAATTTAATATATACCTTTATGATATTGATTAAGAAATAAAAATATTTTTTTTTAAAAAAATAAAAATATTGCAAACAACAAATATTATTAAAGCCATGATTAAGAAATAAAAATTATCATTTTTTACTAAAATATTAAAATACATTGAATAACATAATATGGGTGTATTTTTATGTTTGTTAATAAAATATTTTTAACTTTAATTTGGTCAAAATACTAGTTATCATTTTAAAAAAAATTTAGTGAAAAAGTTTTTCTTTTAATTTTTTTTAATCAAGGTTCTAAAAGCATTAATTACTAGGAGCCCAATAAATAAACATGTCACTGTCTCTCATCGCATGATTGGTACTTTTTGGTGAGCAAAAATAAAGGCCCAGTCCGTATCTTAAAACTTAAGCCCAACTGGATTTTCAATTCCAAATTTTTTAAGAAAGGAAACAAAATCCAAACATGAACTATATCTGACAAAAGTGAAAATTGATTAGAGAAAATCGGATTTCTCCTTCTCCGTCCTTCTAAACCCTAGATCTCGGCTTGCAATACCGGTTCAGCATCGCAGGCTTCGCAGCATCGCAGGCATCGCAGCCTAGGTTCACACGCAGCATCGCAGGAAAGTTCCCTCCTCTTCAATCGGTTTTCCACAATATTTTGAAAACTGAGCACATTGTTTGAGATATGTTCATGCCAAAATAGGAACAGGGTGGTATGTGGGAACAAACAAGAGCAAAAGAGGGTGTTTTGCTTCTTCCTTTCTAGTTCCTGTGGGGGCGAGAGAGAGAGAAGGAATCAGATAGTCTGACATTAGAGGGTCATGTGCTTAGAGCCTGGTTTTTGGAAATCTCAGTGTTCTTTGTACGAATTCCTTTATCAAACATTAGGATCAAATATGAATGCCTGTATGGATTGGGGAAAAATTAGGATTTTCTTTTCCTTCGAACTTATTTAATTTAATTGAGTCTGGTATAGGAATGTTCCTATCTATATATTCATAAAAAAACTGAAGGGACCAGTGAATAAGAGCAAATAAGTTGCAAGCAAGGTGAGAACAACAACACTTTACTCGAACAAGAGCAGAAGATCGTGTCTTAGACCGTATCTAGGGTTCGACCAAGAACAGAGAGGGAGGAGGAGCGACTCAGTAAGTAATTTAGGGTTGGAACGGAATTCATTTTTGGAGGCAAACTGGGTCATACCCGAAACTGGGAGTTTGAGTTGATCCAAAATCCTACGATTTTAGATACCATTTTAGGAGGAGCCAAAACCCTTGGAGGTGCGGCTGCCGCTTAGAGCTAAACTCGAGTTATTTTCTATTATTGGGTGTCATCGTGGTTTTTGTGGTTAGCTCTGCTGCTGGAATTTGAATCTTTTATTTGTCCTTTGTTTCTTTAGTGGTTGTTGGTGTCGTCCTTGATGTCAGGGTTGTTCCATTCAAGATCTATGTCCGAGCTTTAAGCTACTGTGTTCTGTTCTGCATCCAACTTTGAGCGTTGTGTTTCATTAATGTCCACATTTGGTTTTGTTCTGTATTCTGTTCTGCATCTAGGTTTGAGCTTTCATTCATTTAGCTTTGCTTCAGTGTGTTTGTGCTCTGTGCTTGCACATGTTTTCTGAGTTAATGTGTTTCACATTACTCCATTGTGTTTGTGCAGTTCTACCATGTTTGAGTTCTATGCATTGCCTGTGTTTGTTCTGCCATTTTGTTTGTTAATGGTTACTTTAATTTGTGATTCTTGGCACTCACCCATGGAGATTCTGATGGGGTAATATTAGTGCTATAACCATAAACTAGAGAGAGAAACAGAACTCTGCATTTGTCTGCATCAGAATATGGATGTTCATTGCATTCTTGTTTTTATATTTTTTCCCTCAATCTCTGCATGATTTGTGTTTAGTTTTGGTTTAATTGTTGTTCTATTAGTATTATGTGATTTAGCAGGTTGTATATATTGGAAACTCCTGTCTGATATGCTTATTCCTGTATTATGGTAAATTTATAGGTTTTTTTTTTTATTATTATTATTATTATTATTGAAATTGATTTGTTATTATGAATTTATGATGTTAAGAGTTTGTGGTGTATACCTTGTTGTAATGTATTATTACATGTTTTAATAACATATTTGTTTTGAAGGCGTTTGAACATGAGGAGATTACCTTCCAAGATTTGTATCTGTTTGTTGTTTGCTGAGTTGTTGGTTCAACTTTATTGCTATTTTCTGGGAGTTTTTATGTTCTCTTTCTCTCAAATTTAGTTGTTCCATGTTTGTTAGTTACTGTGTTGAATTTTATCTTCAAGATTTTTCCAGCTAATTGAATTGTTCAAGCCTTCTCAAATTTTGAAATTGTGGGATTTTACTGTTCAAACCCCGATTTTAACTACTGTGTTTGGTGGTCATTTTGCCTTGTCTTTGTTTAATAACTAGTTAACTACTAACTTGATAGCTTGTGCCTTTTAAATAATAGCTTTTGTAAAAGTGATGTAAAGTTTTTAACTTTAAGCAGTGACCTATGCAAGTTCAGTAAAAGAAAAACAAACTTAAACTCCAAACCTTTCCACACACACAAATCAAATACCTGTTCCTCGCATTCTCTAGACACGAACACACACACACACACTCTCTCTTCAAATCCAATCCTCACATACAAATACAAATCACAAATCTCAAATCCTTCATCTCCCTCTCCTATAAAAGAACCCTTCTTTCGAATCTTTCCCGCTTTCTCCACTCCCTCACTCTTCACTTTCAGATCCAAACCCTGATTCTTCTCTCAAGGTCTGATTTTGCACCCACGTTATCTAAATCCTCCTATATAACACCTAAATTTCTCTCTATTTAAAAAAATTAAAGAAAGTAAAGATTTGCTTGGTTGCGTGAAAATCCTCTTCAATTGTTTCAGGGTTTTTTAAACTTTCAAGATCCGGGGGACTTTTTGGGGTTTACGTTTTGATTTATTATTATTTTTAATAAAGATTGTTCCTTTGTGTTGAGGAAAAGAAGTGAACTGTTTTTCTTTTGTACTGATTGATGTGGAACCTTGTGTGTTTGTTGATACAGATTTTGTTATAAAGCCTAATAAATTTAGGGTTTCATGGCTGACCAAGGATTGGAAGGGAGCCAGCCGGTAGATCTACAGAAGCACCCTTCTGGGATTGTGCCCACCCTTCAGTGAGTATCCAATTGCTTTGTAAAGACAATATCAAGTGCTTCCTACTTTACAGATTACAAGTGCTCTCTTGATGTGTTGTGATTCCAAGCATAGGATGTATAACATTTTAAGTTTTGGTAGCTTCATTGAATAATTGAATAGTTTTGTGTTGTGGGTTTATCTGTTTTTTTTTTTTTTTTGTGGAAATGAAGAAGTGGGAATTGTTAGTATACAACTGAAGTCATTTTTACTGGCAGGAATATTGTGTCCACGGTCAATTTGGACTGTAAGTTGGACCTCAAAACAATTGCACTTCAAGCTCGAAATGCAGAGTACAATCCCAAGGCAAGTTTCAATTGCTGATAGCAAATTTCACTCAGATATGCATGTTTGCGCCATGGTGGTTGATAGTAACAGATCTTAATTTGTGATTCTGTGTTCCTACCTGGATCAGAGAACCTTTTACTGATCTGAGACTACTATGTTATATTAATATCATGTTTGATATCAGTTACTTGTTACTACTCTCCTGTAATCCAAACTCAGTAATTACTAGATGTTGTAGATGTGCTACATCTACTTGGTCGTCTGTATACTGTTCTAATGTTTCTAATGTATTCACTTGCAGCGTTTTGCTGCTGTTATTATGAGGATAAGAGAGCCCAAAACAACTGCACTTATTTTTGCTTCTGGGAAGATGGTATGCTCCTTTGATGCTCTGTTATGTCTGTCATAGATGGTAGAAGTGCATTTTATTATTGTTTTTAATGTCTTCAAATAAGTTCTATGTTAATATGTAGTTTTACAGTTCTCTTATTGAATTCTGTTATCTGTTATATTTTAATTAATTTTCTTTACAACATCAGTGGGCATATTAGTGTGAGTTAGAAACTATAAAATTCAGATTTGTTTTTCCTTTAGTTTATCATTGAAGATGCTAGTAGTGATATTGCAAACATGGTTGTTAAAATCACATGATTCAATTGGTTCTACACTGCTGTTAAAATTTTTATACTTGTTTTTACAGTTTTATTTAATTGGAAAATATATTCTGTTATTTTAATAACTGATCACGAACCTTACAATTTCACATAATCCTACCTTCGAATTTAAGATTCACAATTTGACAACCATGGTTACAAAAATTGAAATTCCTGCTTTCTCAATGCTGGTAGTGATTCACAATTTCCCTTTCTTATGACCCTTAAATTTAATTGGTACCATTAGGTTTGTACTGGAGCTAAGAGTGAACAGCAGTCTAAATTGGCTGCAAGGAAGGTATGTTGTTCTTTTCTTTTTATTCTATTTTGTCGTGTATATTGTTGATTTTTGACAAATGGAGGAGCTTTAGGACCTAGCCATTTGTTGTAGATTGGCTTTGACACAATCCATCCCATTGTTTTTAGTAGAATGAGTTATTTAAATCATTGAGGCTGGATGGTTTTAATGTCCTTTTCACCTGTAAAAGCTTGATCCACAAGTTATTTTCTAAAATTGGGATTGTCAAGCATTTTATTCTGAAAAATTTATAAATTTTTAATTTTTCTTGTTTTCCTCCTTTCAGTATGCTCGTATTATCCAAAAGCTTGGCTTTCCTGCCAAATTTAAGGTACTGCTTCTCTGCTCTTTGTAATGATCTTTGCTGAAATTGTTCTATTCATTATTGTCATTGTTCTTTTCCTCCCTGCACTTATGTTGTGCTTGATTATTAATTAGTTCCTTTGGCATTGTTCTTTAGGATTTCAAAATTCAGAACATTGTTGGCTCTTGTGATGTCAAGTTCCCCATTCGGCTGGAGGGTCTTGCATATTCCCATGGTGCTTTCTCAAGTGTAAGATTTTTTTTTTAAGATTTTTTTTTTTTTTGGAAAGAATTCATAGGGTTGGATTTTTCAGATATATGGAAAGGATTTTAAAGTTTTGAATATTTAAATGGTATGAAATGGTTTAACTTAATGAATATTATTAGGGAAAGGCTTCTGTTGTTAGAGGTGTTAAAAAGGGCTGAAACCCTGGGGCCAGCCCTACCCAACACTAAAATAACCCATTCAGCCCTGTACTTATATTAATTAAAAAAATTAATTAGGCCCTAAATTATTTAGCCCATAATATGTGGGTCAGGGTGGGGATACCCATGGGTTAGCCCTGACCCTGAAAACACTTCTAATTTTTATCCATGGTCTGGGAACCCTAATCCCAATCTCAGAATACTCCCAAATCAACTCTAATTCAAATCCTCCAAATCCTAAGTTACACAGCAGAAGCAGTGTAAACACCCGTTCGTACTCTACTAGTTTCTAGTAATGATTATGCAATGCGAGTTGTGCACAATAAACATTGTTTTGAGGTGCTCATAGCCAAAATCCAGTTTTCTCTTTCTGTCTCTCTTCCTCGTCAATGGCGGAAGCTGCTGACAAATTCCCGAATCTAGCTGAGGTACTCTTTTTTCTTTTCTTTCTAAAATTAAATTTAAGTTTCAAGGTAGCATGGATCTTGGTTTACGTACAATGGAATCAGTGACAATGTCTACCTAATATTTGATTCCTTTTGGAAAAGGGAATTAACTCACAAAATAAAATGACAACTCCATTTTATCATATCAGTTGTAAACATTTTCAAGAGCAAGTGGATGTAGGTAGGCTTTTTTTGTTTAGATTCCTAAGAAATTATGTAAGGGACCCTGCAATACGAGTGTAGTTTCTGAGCATGTGACAACCTGGTTAAAGATTGAAGGGATATTCATGAAATGACAAAGTTACCTTCTAAATAGGTTGGTCACAGCTGGTTGAGTTTGTTATATTATGTATGTGCATATCATGTTCAGTTGTTAAAAAAACTTCCGTAAAGATTTGGGCAGACTCTAATTAATTCCTTACAGCTAATAAACATTGGGGTAAATCTTTCAATTATTATACATTGGTTTTGTTTATAAGTACATTATCCTTGCGCATTTTGTGGTCCTGTCGTGGAAAATTATGTTAAGTGACAACAGTGTGAACAATTATTCAGATCTTTACCAATAATAGAGAGTTCTACAAAATTTAGAATCTGAGTTCTCACTTTGAAGTGTTTAATATTAGTTATTATATGATGTGTTAGTGTTAGTTATTACATGTGATGTCAATTAAAAAATGAGATTAATTTTTAGGTCTGTGAGAATGTTAGAATATTATGTATCATGCAAACATCACAAATAGTTTAAACATGTCACGGTCTCACAAAGATACAAAAGAGAAAACTCAGGTTCATGCCATGGTGGATCTCAGCTAGTTTTGGTCAAGCTTCCCTTTGAGCTTATCCTATGATTGGCCAATTCGGAACACTAACTAACCAATAATTTTAAATATAAGGAGCCAAATAAATCTGATTCAGATAATGTATTCTACTTTATTTTGTTTGGATTTTTCAGGTTTCTGTCATTGTTGTGCTTATGGGCTATTGGGGAATTTATAATCTTAACAATGTGCTTGTAACTTAGTATTCTCTTGACACTACCTTGTGCTTTCTTGTTTGACTGTTGGTTTTATAAGTATACATGTGGTTTTTTGTATTGAAGTCCTTGTTTCTTTAGAATAATGTGTATCCTTTTATCATATTTTCTGATTGGACAATTTTCATCAAAATGTTACATCTGTTGTTCAGAATCAGAATGCTTAATATAATAATATATATTACTTCTATTGGTCCCTGATGCTGAAATTCTTTGTGGGACAAAAGACTCGTGCTTGTGGTGTTATATCCACTTTATACAAGTTCTTATAACTAAGAAATTGTTGTGTTTCATAGTAATGTATGAAACTGGTGGTGGTGAGTAATTTTAGGATATTAGATATCTACCTATGCAAAAGCTACTGTCTGGTTTTGTATTACTTTTTGGCACAACAGTAATATTCTTTATAGGTGTCTTCCAAAATGCTGTTGCCAAAGGAGTTCGTAATATAAGCTTTGGAGATCTTTTAGGAAACTTAGGAACAACCATGTAAGCTCTTTGCTGATGCATTAAATATATAATTGTAGAATCTGCATTATATTTGAAGATTCTTTTCGTCTGGCTCTGATAAGAAAATAAGAAGGGCATATGAAATATAATCTGGAACGTCTTTATTTTATACTACCAAGCCATCCAATCTCTTTGCTTATCAGACAAAGAAACTTTGGAAAATGCCGTGTGCAAAACACCAACGTCATTGCTGATTTATTGTATTCATATATTCACACTCGATCGCTACCTATATTTAATTAAAAGGAAGGGAGAATATATAGTGAAATAAACAAAAAGAATAAAAGAGGAGAATATTATAATTCTCTTGTTGAGCAGTTTAGAAGATGATATTCTGTATGGGGTCCTCCCCAATAATTTTATTTTCATGCAGATCTTTTTTTGACAAATATATTTTTAGTTCATATAAATACAGTTGTTTATTTTCAGTTTCATTAAAAAAATTTGGCCCATAAAGCCTTGACACTAACCCTGACCCAATGGGCTTTTGGCCTACAGGGCTTTTTAGCCCTAACCCACATGGGCTAGGGCTAGGGTTGGGCCAGGTGGGCTTTTTGACAGCTCTACTGTTGTGTCTATGTTTATGCTTTGCTTAAAGTTGTTTAAGTTGAGGAAATAGATGGATATATGCTGATACTTGCTTGTTTGTGGTGATAGTATGAACCGGAATTGTTTCCAGGACTAATCTACCGTATGAAGCAACCTAAAATTGTTTTGCTTATTTTTGTCTCTGGAAAAATTGTTCTAACAGGAGCCAAGGTATTATATTTGCTTATAATTTCTTCATATATATTATTCCTCCTTTTTTCTGGTTCATTGGATTTCTTGTTTGTTTTCATTTCCATTTTTAGGTGAGAGATGAGACTTATACTGCCTTTGAGAACATATATCCTGTGCTTACTGAGTTCAGGAAAAACCAACAATGGTATGGACATGTTTTTATGTCTCTGTGTAACTTTTTCATTGGTATTTACAGTGTACACGTTTTGTTGTAATTTCAATGGATCTCCATCATTGCTTGTCCTTGAATGTTTGATGCTTAAAAAACCAAAAATTAAATTTTTGCTACTTTTAAAGCTTTTTCTTCTGTTTTAGTTACTGTCTGGGCGTCAAAGTATAATTGGGCGCCTGATGGGATATTTGATGTATGTGACAGATTGCTGGGAAAAGCAGGAGGTTCTGGCAGAGGAGTTCGTGGAACTGTAAATATTAAAACAAAGGAGATATCTAGATTGATATAAATTAAAGACGACTAATTAAAGACAGTCGCTTGTGTTGCTCTTTCTTTGTTTTGGAATGGGTCTTGATGTAGTTAAGTGAATGATATTTGTTCTATTGAATTGATATTTTTTTAAAAAAAGGGTATTTTGAGGGGGCAGAAAAAAAGACTCATGAAATAACAAATTGACTCTGACAGATGCACATGAAGTTTAATAGTATCGTATTAGGATTTAGAGAAAAAAATATTAGTACGATATGACTATTGAGTATTAAATGTCGAGCAACAAATCAAAGCTTTTGAGTTGCTAAATCTATTCAACTAATGCAGTATTAACTTTGATATTATAGTTATGTAAATTATTTGTTTATATGTTGTGGAACAGTGAATGTTTAAGATGGAAAAATGTAGTAATTCTAAAAATTAATTTAAATATGTATTAAATTGAGTAATGACAAAAGTCTTTTGGTAGTATTATTTAAAATGAACATATTGTTGGTTTCATTATTAATTCGTTTGTAGGTTTCTGCATGACGCCAGCCTGCATTTTATATTTGAATTTTGTGGTATTCAACTATTTTTATTGGGTTAATTTGATGAAAGGTAAATAAATGGATTGCAGTGGTTTGGGATTTTTTATGATTTTTGTCGTAGTGGTTTGGGTTTGGAACCTGGACAGGACCACGACACCATGGAGCCATTCTCTATATAACCCAAATTGATTTGTGGAGTATGGGATGGAGATAAAGTGAAGCAAAAATGACCGAAAAATAAGTGCATTTTTTAAATTTTTCTAAAAATAACACTTAGGGCTTGTTTGATGAATATGGTAGGATAACATAGAGAGATAAGTTCTTATAAATAATATTGTCATTATTTTTAATGTTTGAGATACACAAAATAATAGAACAAAATATATATTATATTTAAATGATAATAATATTTTTTTATCATCAAAATTAATATATTTTAAAAAATTTAAATTTTCAATATATATATTGAAAATTTAAAATATTTTAATGTAAACATAATATTAAAATTTGATATTAAGTTATTATTTTTTTGTTTAATTTGTTTACAATTAAAATATATTTTTAGGAAATAAATTATAGTTAGACCAAAATTTTTTAAATATATTTTATAAAATAAATAAAATGATTTTTATAAATGTTAATTTATAAAATATTTTTATTAAAATCATTTATATAATTTTTAATAGAAATATTAAAATTATATTTTTAATATAATTTTATATATAATAAAAAAAGTATAAAGTATGAATAAAAATGAAATAGAAAAATGTTATTACAAAAAAGAATATTTGAGACAGAGATACAGAGGCATATGTATTATGTTTGGGTAGTCTCTTGATGGAGAGACAAACACACAAAGGACACGAGATATAAATTTGAAAGATATCAGTGTATTTTCTTGAAAAAGAGACACTAGTGTCCCAGTTTTAGAGATATGGAAGATAAACTTTGGAAGACAAAAATACTTCTCATAATTTTTAAAAATTACATAAATTATCTTCATAATTTTTATATCTAAATACAATATAAGATGTAATACACCACATTTTGTTTCTACTTCCAAACACAAATATTAGTGTCCTTGTCTTTCATTGCCTCAGTGTTTCTATCTTTAATATCTAGGGACGATATCCAAACGCTACTTAATATCTACTTGTAGAATCTACTTTATATTCTTCAAGCTTACGAAAAAGTCTTCATCACAATTATGGCAATTTCAAATAAGATCAAGTGTAAAAATCATAATGATGCACCTTTACCAAACTGAAATTCAATAAAATTATTCTTATCTTTTTTTATAATAGGCATTGATAAGTACTAGCTATAATTTTTATTTGACAAACAAGTTTATATTCATTCACAATTTATTCCATCCATTTTTTTTGTCATTCACTTCTTTTTATTTTTCTCATTTTTTTCTCCTTATCTATTATATCTTTTACTTTCCGTTCCTTTCTTTTTTTCATACCCTAAAATGGAGCGTCAAATGGGTGGATGAAGAGAATGATAGAAGGGGAACAAATGTGATAGACAATGCGAATGAAACAAAAAAAGTTAGAAAGAAGAGAATAATAAAATATAGATGTAAAAGAATGTGAATGTAAAAATATATTTTTATTTTCCAATAAAAACATTCACAATAGAGAGGTACCTTGTTGATCACCAATGAAAATGTTTGAGGCAGTAGTTTGTCTATATAACTCTTTTTCTTTTACAATTGTTTATTTCTACGTCCATCACCGCAATTTCAGACATCATTCAAATTCCAATAGAAAGAATAGTAAAATTACATTATTATGTGGGAAACAAAACATCAAAACTGACTTTAGCTCAGTTTAAAACTGAAAAATAAACATTAATTTAAAAATAAAAAAGATTTCTATTTATATAAACTTTTTAATTTTTAATAAATTTTAATTAATAATTAAGAGTGTTAAAAAATTATATTGTTTAACATATTTTTAAAATTAAACAATAATTCATTAGAACATCAACGTACCAACGAGCTAGGCTAAAGATACTTTCGGTGAATAAAATTCAAGAACAAGTCCTCATGCATCATTAAAAACACCTGCAGGATATTAGTAGTATTTATAAGTTGTATTTTAATGATAATCACAAAAATTATGTGGAAAATTTTAAAATTTAAAATGAAAAAGGTAAAAATAAAAATGTTTTTTTATTGAAATATATTTAATTTTAAAAACTAATTCAACTTAAATAAAATTAAATTTAGATACATGTATATAATTTTATTTACAAAATTATAGAATCACTCATATATTTATAAATTATTATACCAATTTAATTTATCCACTGACTTATTTTGTAAGTGTTTTAGTGTTATTTATTAATTTATCCATTCACCACCAAAGTATTGTTGTTGCAGTCTAGAGTCAAAGTTCCTGAAATGATAGACTCTCCTTCACCGTTGTAATAATGTATGAGTACTCTTCGATTTTTGTGTTTATTCAAGGCATGGTCGCTTCAACGCTTGCATATATTTGAACTATTCTTATGATAGCTTTGATGTGTGTTTTATATGCTACCTATAATCATAATTATCAATAGTGGCTGCAATGTCTTCCATGTCTTCTACATTAGCTTTGTCTTCCATGTGTTTAATCCATTCTTATGATAATCAAAGTCCTATTTTCATGACTCAACCAAGCACATTTAAGTTAGAAATGTTTTTTGAACAATCTTGGGAGACAACCAAGAGTTATCCCCTTTGAATTTTAGAGTGTTTTTGAGACGTGTATATACCAAAAAAAAAAATAATAATAATAAAGAGAAAATATTGATAGAAATAATTATATACTATGTCAATTTTTAGTTGCTCAAATAATAAATTGATGTTGAAATAGCCTTTGCATTTAAAAAAAAATGCGCAATTCTCTATAATGTCATTAGCTTGCTGATTTCTTAGTCTTAACAGCGAGTTACCCTTCAAAATTCATCAAGTTTTAGAATCGATTTTTGTGTCCTTTTTATTTACAGGGCAATACATACTGAGCATGATACATCTGAATATTTTTTTATGTTATTTAACCTACTTCATAAGTCTAATTTATCCTCACTCAGTTCATGTAAGGGTGTCCATCGAATCAGGTAAATCAACGACCCGATAATCCAAAACGAAAAATGATCCAAACTAATGTTTAACGGGTTAAATCCGATCCAAATCAATCAAACTCGACGTGATTTGGTTTAGATAACGGGTGACACTGTGCCAACCCGATCACGCGAATATATACCCAATGAATATTATTTACTAGTAAATCACGTATCTCACATAGAGATCCTTGATACTTATTTTAAATTTAGTTTTTTTATTTTGAATTAAGACTTATTTTGAATTTGTGTATTTGTGTTAGAATATTGTGTAATTGTGTTAAAATTATGTGTCAAGAATTATTCGAATGAAAAAAATGAAATTTATTTTTATTTTTTATATGTTTTTAATTGAATAATCTAATGATTCAAACCGAACTAACTCGCTTGTGTTTGGTTCGGATCTGATTGGATTTTCAAATTTTTTTTTCACAAATCCAAACCAAATTAAACCAATTCATTTTAATTGGTTCAAATTATTTTTTTTCTCAAACTCGAATCAAACTGGCCCGTAGATACTCCTAAGTTCATTTTCAAACATATAGTTTATCTTATCTCCTTAACTTAATACTAAAGAATCCTTTGCTTACAATAAAGTAAACAACAACTCTTAACATAAGCCTAGATTAAAATATGTTACAACTTATAAGTTCTTAACAACAAAGTGCAATTAAGATGTGCCCGTATGGTTTACAAATATTCACGGGCATCATAATTTAATATTAAAGCAAGAAAATAATAATATAAACACCCAAAAGTAGAAAAAACAGAAAAAGAAAAGGAGTTTCTGAATCCATGGAGCTTCAATAAGAAAAACGTGCACCTCCTTCTGGATTCTGAAACCCAAAATTCTCAATGGAACCAACAGTTTTGAACATTCTCCTCTTGTGTATCTCTTCTATTAATGATCGTTGATAATGCTGTCTCTTCAGATCAACATAGGAATGAATCCTTGTTAGCCTATGGTATCCATGGTACCTATGAGAGTCCATTCTCATGTTCCAAAATTGTTTGGTGAAATCATCCTCAAACACCACCTCTTTTCTAGGACAGAATCTTGTGCTCTTGTTGTTGGCTTTTGGAGAGTAGCAAAAGGGTTCTGTTCCTACTACTGGAGTAGGAACACGCTCATCTTCATTGCTTGAGTCGCAGCACTGGAAATTGAAACACTTGGAGGAGTTCATTGAGCTTTATAAGCTTGCATCATCATTCATATATAGATCAGATCATCTGCAAATTGTTCAATGTGGACAAGATACATACAGTTCTTAAAATTGCACGGAAAATAACTGATATTAACTTATCAAAAGAACAATTATTAAGATACTCAGACTCACAAGAGTAGCTTATGCTTTTCTTATTAGCTTTTTAACGAATTTTATTTAATTTCACGAAAAAATTATCAAAACGTTTTTCTTAAACTTATTTTAGTATACTTTATAATTGATAAATTAAGGGTATATTTAGAAGATTTTATGAAAATATCTAATGAATTTTATGTTTTTTTATATTTTAACATGTTTATTTTAGTATAACTTATTAAAATAAGTTTTTTTTTTCAATTTAACTCAATAAAATTTCATGATTAAATTCATACCAAGCTTTTATGTAAAAAAAAATTATTAAATAAGCGTTTAATTAAGTTGTTTATCTAAATTAGCCCGAGT